TGCAAAGCATAGGCCCGAGTCATGGCAGGGGACCAAATGACACTTACCATGTGATTAAGTGTGTTTGGCTGTCTGATGCTACAAGTCGAGGCTCCCTGTGACAGCTTGTTGATCTTGTCCATGTTTGTGCTCTACTTTTAACAGGAAAGATGTAGTCTAAGGGAAAGAACAGTTCTAGGAGCTTTAATCTAGGCTTAAATTTGTCTAAAACATGTCACTCGGGGACTTCTCTGTAGAGTACATACCACTGATTCTTCCTCTGAACACCATGTTTATCACATTTGAACTCCTGCCCCAAATTTTGTTTTAAAACATACCCCACTTGTTCCCATCTCACTCCACTCTCTCCATAAACCCAAAGTTTGGTGGTCAAACCTTTCCTGTTCTTCCATCTACTTCCATATATGACAATACCCATGAACTTATCACTTTGGGCCAACAATCGGTTATTTAAGAAATATTTGCTCATCTCCATCAATCACATTGTTTCATGTGGGTTTTAGGAATGTGAGCTAAAAAATGTGGCTTTACATATTTAACTAACTTCCTACTCCTACACTCTGAAATGTCTCAGATGATGCAATGTCAGCCTTATTAATAAATCCCATTTTGACAAGCAGGAATGCTTTCACAAGATAAATAATGTAAATATTTCAAGTTTCTGGGGAACACAGTGCAGGTCACCCTGGAGAAGAAATGGAGATACTATGGTGAAGATAGAAAGAACAGAAAATCCCAGTCGTTTAGATTCTAGAAAGCCAGTGAAGCAGAGATGAAAAGTAAAGTCAGGAGATGGATGATGCCCCCCAAAGAATTGCTAATAAGTGATTAGCATTTTAAAAGCCCCAAAAGGGGTTAAATCTCAGAGCTATCAAGCTATCACCATCCACTGAGGCATGAGTTCACCCTGCCTGGGAGGTGACCCACATGGCACAGCAGACCTCTCCTGTCTTACCCTCTGCTCCCCTCAGCAGTGTATTTTAGTGGATTCACCTGTTCTGCTCCCCACTCTGTTTCTGGTGAATCCTTTCACCACCCCACAACTCTGGCCACCTGTTCTTGTATACATAAATACAAAAAAATTTTAAAGCCAAAAAAAAAAAAAAAACAAATTCATGATTTCTGAATTATGGACTTCATCTAATGATCTTAGAATAGCTTAAAAGAAATAGTAAGCTAAATTGTATCACTTAGCAAATAGGTCTTTCTTACCTAAATTTCTTCCCTTGGCTAATGACAGAGTCAATAAAATGGATAGTCATTTTTCTTTCCTGCTCCACGTCAATAGAACTGTGTACATGGTTTTTACACAATGGTCCAAAGATCCTATTCCAATGCTGTCCAGTACAGTAGCTATTAGCCACATGCAACTAGTATAAAATAGAGGATGAATTTTGAAGACAGTATGAATAAAAAACGTAAAATGTTAGTATTTTTTTAATAGCTGATATTTATTTATTTATTTATTTATTCATACAGATCTGGGGTATAGGCCAGAGATGCGGAGGGTGAGAGGATTCAGCAGAGACAGAGTGGGGTACAGAACAGGCAGATTACGAAGTACACTGCTGAGGGGAGCAGCGGGTGGGTCAGGAGAGGTCTGCCACACCATGTGGTCACCTCCAGGGCAGGCGGGGAGCAACTCATGTGGAAGTGGCTTTAGCTTCTTAGTGCTGTGCTTTAACCCACTGTGCCACAAGGGAGGGCCCAGCTGGTATTTTTATTAGACATTTTAAGTTAAATTATACCTGTTTTCCTTTAATCTTCAAAAATGTAATTCTAAAATCCATTTAAACTAGATATATGGCTTATATTTCTAGTAGATAGGGCTGTTCTAGACATTTCAGGAGAAAAATCCTGAGAATTGTAAAACTGGAGTTGAGAAAAATTTGTCCTTACTAAGTGAGAGGTCATGGGAACATGATAGTAAGAAACATGACATAAGGCAAAAGATGAGAGTTTCCCTTTTGGGAAAAAAGTGGCCTTTGCTTAAGCTCAGCTCATGTGAACAATATGAACAATATGAAAGAAACAGGATGTGAACTGAACTCAACAAACAATCCTCGAACACCTGCAAGGAACACTGCAACAGGGAGACACAAACAATGAGTTAAGCCTGGCCCCTGTCCTCAAGAAGTTCACCATTTGGTGTATGTTCTGCTGCAAAGCATAGGCCCGAGTCATGGCAGGGGACCCAAGTTCATTGAGCAGATCGATAGAAATGTCTGAAAACTAAGGAAAGCATATAGAGCCACAAAACTACGAGTCAACAGGGAAATCCCTTCAAGTTCCCTTAATCAGCAACACATTTTACAACCATTAAATGAAACAAGGACCTGAAAGTACAATTTAAAATATTTTGTTTCTGTGGCCTCTTTGGTAGCCTAGGGGTTAAGTGTCAGCACTGTCATTACTATGTCCTGAGTTCCATCCCCGGGCCAGAGATCTAACCCCCATGGCACAGCAGGGGGTTAGCTCCATCTCTTCTGCTCCCCACTCTGTCTCTGATGAATCCTTTCACACCCCTCTGTACCTGGC